AAGCTGGCCTGGAGCCTCCTGCCCGGCTCCCTCGTGCTTGCTGCTGGAGGTGGTTCCCTAGAAGCTGCCACGAGCAGCTGCCTGGGGCCTTTCAGGAGTTGGGGACACTGTGGCACAGGGGCCAAGCCACAAGGAGGACCCTGAGGGGGCTTCCCTCCGAGGTGTCCTCTCTGTGGGAATCCTGGTCCCATCTTCTAGCCCCTCTTTCTGGCTCAGAAGCGAGGAGAGAGCAGTTTGCTCAGGGTCCTGCCACAATGCACCCTCCCCAAGGCCCGTGCCCGAGGTGGGTGGCCTTTTCCCTGCCATGTCTGTTCCTTAGCCCCCAAGATGTGGCCGGACCTGGGGAAGGTCCTGATGAGACCACAGAAGGGCCCTGCACTCCCCGATGGGTTCCTATCCCCGCCTCCTTCCTCCTCCAACCCAGTGACCTTCCCAGGGTCCCCTCCCCCTCCGATTTCCCAGGTCCCTCAGGCCACTCTGGGCGGGGCCGGGAGGCTGTAGAAATGGAGCAATCCCCAAAGGCAGTGGTCCGAGCACAGTTGAAAGGTTTCTTCCACGGGGGAGGCTGTCTCAGTCCCCAGCCTACCTGTGCTTACCCTCGGGTTCTGGGCTCCTGGTCCTGGGCTCCTTCATCACCTTCTGTGGGTGTGGCCCTGCCTGTAGGTTCCTGCGGAGGCCTCCCCCATGCCACCTGGAGGTCACCCCCGGGTCCCTGCCTCTGGGCCTGTATGGACCCAGCCGGGCAAAGCTCCGTCCCCAGTGGAGGGAGAATACAGCTGCTGGTCTCCTTGGCTTAGTTTCCTGGCCGGGGTGAGCCCACCACGATGCCACCTTCCTCTGCCTCCTCACATGAGACCTTTGGGACCACCCTGGGCTTCTAGGGGTCAACACACAAGGCCCTTGGTCCCTGGGACCTGACGGGGCACCCGCTGCCACAGCCCAACCTGAGGGCTCGTTCTCCCCAGCTGGAGCCTGTAGGGGAGGGCCTCTCACCTGGATCGTCCCTTCTTAGGCTCAAGCTAATTTTTTTTGTTGTTTTCCCCTTTTAGGCCATGATTTCTGGAGAGCTCGATATTCTCAAAGATTGGTGCTATGAAGCTGTGAGTACTTCTTTCTTTTTATTTTTTCTAGTTAGGCCTAAAAAGAATCACAGCCTGGAGATCTGCTTGGGCAGGACGGTCAGAGAAGGGCACAACAGGGTCTGGTGTCTTGATTGTGGGGGGACCCCGGGGGCCGGGGCTGGGCGGACAGGGGCTGCAAATAGTCCTGGGTGTGTGTGACCTTCCTGTCCCTGGGCCAGAGTCCATCATCACGCCCATGTCACAGGCGTCATGAGGGCACAGCACGAACACAGATGCAGCATTTGCAGGACATGAAGCTCTGATGGGACTCGTTAGCTGTTCTCACTTCAAGTTCCCGAAACACAGATCAAAACAGACGGTGATAGATTTCCCGCATGGGGAGGAGCCGCGTGTCCTGACAAGGCCTGACTGGGCTGCCCGGAGTCAGGGCTCCGGGTTCCGGGGCTGCACGGCGCCGGGCTGTGGACAGCGGGCCAGCCTTCCCCGGGAGCACACCCTGTCTGCCCGGGGCCTGGCAGCCTCTGCGTCCCCGCAGGGCTCTGGCCGGCCACCTCGGCTCACCCTGCTCATTCCCTGACCTGTGTCTTCATGGGGCTTTTTTCCCCGAGCTTGTTTGTATTAAGCGATCCAGAGCCTTTTTTGGCTGATTCTGTTCTGCTTCCAGCTCACAAACAACTTGGAGAAAGCAGAGGAGAAGATGTCAGGTTTTTTTTTTTTTTTTTTTTAAATACTCCTCTGCATGGTGACTAATCCAGCAGACATTTCTGAGAGTGGGGGTGGCGGGTTTTGTTTTTTTTTTTTTAATACTTTGGGACCATTAGGATGTGGTTGATTATCTTTGCCAGAGAGCTGCTGGTGCCCCTGGAAATGCACTTGAAATTGCAGGTGCTCTTAGAGAGGGTGTTTTTGAAATGTCGTTTTTTAAAGAATCACACCAGAAATGGGAGTGGCAGCGTTTTTGGTTTTTTTCTTGGTAGATCAGTTATTTCCATAAAAACTAGGTGTGATTGGAATGTCTTCCATCATAGTTGCTGAGTCCAGAGAAGGTTCCAGAGGAAAGCTGCAAGGCTGCCCATGTCCCGGGTCTGGGCGCAGGCTTGGGGGGGGGGGGGGGGGGGGGCTGTGGGGGGGCGCCGCTGCCCCTGGGGAAGAACGGGCTGCCTGCGGCCAGCAGCTTCCCAGAGGAGCTGGTCAGCGAGGAGCAGGCATCCCGGGCAGCCCCTGTCAGAGTAGCCGCGGATTAGGGCAAATCCTAGAAAACGCATTTGATTCCAGGCCAAGACTCAGGACCGTGAATATGGGCAAGTCCAGGATCAGCCAGAGAGGCCTCACCGTACGCCTGGGGCTGTGGTTTCAAATCCTGTAGCAGGAAAATTACCAACCCTTCGGGGCTACCACTTGCAGTCCATGGTCTCGATGCAGCGCTGCCTTTGCTGCGAGGAAGGGGGCCGTGCTTCGGGCCAGCAAACGGGTGGCACCAGCTGGCTGCTTGGAGCCGGGCTCCTGGCATCTGCCACTCCTGGCATGGCAAACCCAGGCGCCAGGAGCCGTTGCTGGACCGTGCCAGGGCCGAAAGCACGGAGCTCGGCTGGCGAGCCGGCCTGCAGGGAGAGTCTCCCAGGCCTGTTCACCCAGCCCCGTGGGGCGCCGGCCTCGGAGGGTGCGGGGCCCAGTGCCGGCATGCCGGGGGCTACAGGTGTGCCGCTTCTCATTGCAGACCTACAGCCAGCTGGCTCACCCCATCCAGCAGGCCAGAGCGCTGGGCCTGCAGTTCCACTCCCGCATCCTGGACATCGACAACGTCGATGTGAGTGTGTCTCCCTGGGGGTGTGCTCGTCACAGGGGCGCCCTGTCCCTGGAGGAGCCGTGGCACGGGCAGGTGCTTGGGTTAAGGGACCTCCGGGGTCCCTTTCGGTGGGAGCCTGCCACCACTTAGGCGGGTGGCAGACACACAGGATGCCTCTGCCCTGTCCTCGGGGCCCCGGAAGGCAGTGTGTGTCCCTGCACCTTTACTGGGAAGGGTGGGTGCTTTGTCAGGACCGCTCAGGCCCCCACTGTCCCTGTGGGGAGCTGAAGACACGCCAGCGCATGCTTCCCTCTCCCCTGCCTGTGTGCAGAACTGGCCCCTCTGGGAGGCCTTGATGTGTGCACCCAGCCCAGGTCTGGGGAGGCCGCATGGGTTCTCAGCAGTTGGGACTTGGGCTCACACTGGGAAGGACCCTGGAATCCCCCACCCAGAAATGGGCGACCCCTCAGGCTCCTTCTGCGGACTGGACAACAAGGGGCACAAAGGGAGTGCTGGGGCCGCCCCCTGCAGAAGGGAGGAGCAGGGAAGGGGTGTGGCCACTCTCTGAGCACTGGCCCCCGCCCCTGTTCCCCAACAGCTGGCCATGGGCAAGATGATGGAGCAGGGACCTGTGCTGATCATCACCTTCCAGGCCCAGCTGGTGATGGTGATCAAGAATCCCAAAGGCGAGGTGGTCGAGGGCAACCCGGTGAGTGAGGGAGGAATTGGAGCAGGACGGGTGGGTGGCCACCCTCAGCTCCCTGCGCTCTGGAGCCAGGAGGTTTTATGACTGCAGAAGCAGCAGGGCTGGGCCTCCAGAAGTCGAGGGCCCTAGCTGGGCCTGGTGGAGGTCAGAGGGTGACTGAGCTGTCTGGTTGTGCCACATCCTGAGTTGCAGCCTCTGGAGCCCAGAGCCAGGCTTACTGCCCGCAGCCCCACTCCCTGGTCCCTCCCAGCGTCCCCTCTCGACAGTCCCTCATCCCCAGCCCTCACCTTCCCCACCTCGGCAGGACAAGGTGCTGCGCATGCTGTACGTGTGGGCGCTCTGCCGAGACCAGGACGAGCTCAACCCCTACGCAGCCTGGAGGCTTCTGGACATCTCCGCCTCCAGTACAGAGCAGGTCCTCTGAGTGCGGTGGCCACGACTGGGGGCTCCTGGGCTGGATCAGCACACAGTGGACACCCGGAGGACTGGTGTCTGCCCGCAGCAGTTAGACCTTTGGGGACAGGACTGTTGGTTCTCTACCAGGGTGACTGGAAGCAGCTGGATGGGGAAGGGCTGGCAGCCGCTGAGGGCTTCTCTCCACACTGCCGGCCCGCGCTGCTCCTCTGCCCTGTGGGGCTGCTGGGCGAGGTCACTGCGGTGCATAGGCCAGATGGTGCCAAGGGGCCCCTGCCCAGGGGTTCTCTGGAGGCAGGATGGCAGGGCCCAGGCCCCTGCCACTCAGAGTGGCCCAATGGCCACTTCAGCCAGGCCATTTTGGCTGTGTTTTTTAACAGTGCCCTTATTACCCTGTATATATGCCTGATATTTGGACATAATAAAAGACCAAAGTGCAGGAAAGCAGCTTGGGTCGTCTGATGTGTCTGTCACTGGGGGTGGGGCCGGGGGAAGCTGGGACTGATGATGGGGTGGTGGGAGCTGTCCAGGAGGTCACAAGGAGGTGGTCAAGGTCACTGAAGGAACTGCGGCCCTGGAGGAGCAGCCTTGCCTGGTCAGGACCCTGTTTCCTCAGTGGTGCGGGGACTGTGACACAAGAGCTAGGGAGCTTTTCAGTAGTCCAGCTGGGGTTTCGGAGGGTTGGGGTCCCCAGAGCTGGAGAAGCTGGAGCGCCAACAGGAGTGATTTTTGGAGGCACTGGGATCCGCCCGCGCAGGACGTCTGGTCCAGGGGTCCATCGCATAGAATTGCGGGGAAGGTGCGGAAGTCGGGCTGGGCTGCCTGGGTGCTTCTGGGGTGGGGTGGGCGGGGTCCTGGGTACTGAGGCTCCCCGCGGTCGGGGTCTCCCAGGCGCTTCGGGGTGGGAGCTCCGTTCTCGCGGAGTCCGGGGCGGGGTCGCGAGCCCGCGCACCGCTCCCTGCGCAGCCTCCGCCCCCCGCGGCGGCCCCGCCCCCTGTCGCCATGGGAACAGCCGCGGCGGCCCGGCTAGCGCGCCGCTCGCCTGCCTCGGTCTCCGGCGCTCCAGGGGCGGGTGGGGTGGGCTGAGCCCGGGGCGCCGCCGCCGCCGCCGCCGCCGCCGCCGCTGCTGCTGCTGCCGCCGGGGAGAGGCCGAGAGCGGAGCCGGCTGGGTCCCGGAAGAGAGCGCAGCCACCGGGCGCACGGTTCCCGTCCCGGTCGAGGCCAGGGTGAGGGGCGCGGCGGGGCGGGGGGGTGGGGGAGGGGTCCCCGGGACGCCGAGAACAAAGGGAGAGGGGCGGGGGACAGGGCTTCGCCCCGCTGCGCCGCCGGGCTGCGCGTTCGCACCTGTTGTGCGCGGGCCAGCCGGGTCCGGGCTCCCTCTCCCCACTCTCAGCACCCCCACCTGCGCGCACGGCCGGAGTTGGGTCCCCGCGTGCCTGTGGCGGCCTGCCCGCGAGCCGGGCTTGGGCGTAGCCAGGGGGACAGAGGCGCGGGCGGGGGCTGGATCCGGGCAAGGTCAGGGGGCGGTGGCGGGAGGGGCGGCGCAGGGGGCGGGAAGGCGCATCCTCATCCCAGCGCCCCCGGCCGGCGCCTCTTCCGCAGGGCGCGCGGCGATGTGAGCCATGAGCGCGACGTGGACGCTGTCCCCCGAGCCGCTGCCGCCGTCGACGGGGCCCCCGGTGGGCGCGGGCCTGGACGCGGAGCAGCGCACGGTGTTCGCCTTCGTGCTCTGCCTTCTCGTGGTCCTGGTGCTGCTGATGGTGCGCTGCGTGCGCATCCTGCTCGACCCCTACAGCCGCATGCCCGCCTCGTCCTGGACCGACCACAAGGAGGCGCTCGAGCGCGGGCAGTTCGACTACGCGCTGGTCTGAGCGGCGCGGGGCCGCTCCCCAAGGGCGGACCCGACGGGGGCGCAGCCTGGCAGGGGATCGCGCTCAGGACCCCGCCCCATCGCCTAGCCCGAGGTGGGAGGGCGTTAGAGGTCCGGCTCCTCCCCCTCAGACCCCTCCCATCTTTCCTCCCGGCCCGGCCGGAGCCCCACTTCGTGCCTTTATCCCGCCCCGTCCTCGCTCCATAACTCGACATCTCGGCTGGCCCCCGACTGGGAAGAGGCCCCCCATCCCCACCCCAAGGTGTATAGGTGGTTCTGCTATTGTCCTGTCGCCAAGCATGAGTGTCACGTCCATTCCTGGATGCGGGGGACCCCGGTGTCCCCCCTCTCTCCCCTGTGGTCTGGCCACCCTCACTCCTCCGCCCCCAACCCCCCCTTAGTGTTGAGCCGCTTCTGCGGGGCAGGCTGTCCTGCGCCCGCATCGTGGAGGCTGCCATACCCATGTGCCTCGCGCGGCCTGCCCCGGAGTTCGGGATCCGAGAGCACCGATGGCTGCTGTGTGTCCAGGACGCGCGGCACCTTCGGTGGGAGGAGTGCGAGCAGGTTCTCCCCAGCACAAGGTCAGCCCCCCTCCCTGGCCCTCCTGCCGCTTCCCGCGCTTCCCTCTGAGCCGTCCTCGCATCCCCCGGTGGCCTTCCCCAGCCCTTCTGCCGGCTCCCTGGTGGCCTTCCCCAGCCCTTCTGCCGGCTCCCTGCCTCCGAGCGGATGGTGTCAATAAAAGCTATCCCTGAGCGCTTACTACCCGCCAGCCGCGCGTGACCTGTACCCTCTGCAGGACCCGCAGTGAGCCCTCTTGGCATTGCTGCTCCACGGGCGGGGGACCAAAGTCAGGCAGGGGGAGGGACTAGCCTGCACGGGGCTGAGTGGCAGGATTTCAGCCTGGCTGGAATTTGAAGCCGAGTCTGACTCGCACATGCTCTTCGTGGCTGCCCCACGCTGCCAAAACAGCCGGGCCCTATTTTGGGGGGACTGGCGTGTAAACTAGCTCTGTTCAGCAACGCGCATCGCTGAGATCCACCCCCTTTTCTTTCCCTTGACTTGGGGAGAACGGGGGGGGGGGCTCCGTGGGAATGGGGGGCCGGGGAGGCCCGCTGAGTCAAGAAGTGGCAGGCTCTCCTGGCACGGACCACAGCTGCACCCCAAACCTCTCTCAGCCTGGTTCCTCCTGCCCACCCTCCACGTGCGCTTTGGGAAGCGGGGGGCCGGGCAGGGCAGCCACCGAGTGGGCTGGCTAGGCTCCACACCCGCTGGGAGACGTTGTCTGTGCCCCAGGGAGCCGTGCGCAGCGTGCGGGGAGAAGGAAGCGCTTCTATAAAAGGCAGGCTGTGTGACTGCACGGGCTCTGCGAACGCAATTCACCCGCTCCCAGAGGACTAGTTGGGCTGGGGAGGGGGGCGGTGCTGTGCTGTGGGAGGACACCTGGCTCCCGGCCGTGCGCTCCGCAGCCTCTCCCTGAATCTACACCCTCAGGCAGGCTGGGGAAGGGGGACCCCTTGCAGGGAGACCCCACCGCACTCCTGGGCATTTGGGACCTTTGGCAGCGGGGCAACACTTCCTCCCTCAGCCCTGCTCCTCCCTCCCTGTTCCCAAGGCCCCTCCACCCCCAGCTCCGCCTCCCTCCCTCCCTCCTTCCTCCTCCTCACTTTGCTAAGGCCACCTGTGGCGGGGGGGACCTGCTCCCCTCCCTCCGACCTCCTGCCAAAAGAGGCCACCAGGCCACCCGCCACCCACGCCCCGCCTAACCCTTGACCTGTACCTGGGGCCTGGCTCCCCCTCCTGACTTCTCTTCATCGGTGTGAGGTGAGGTCACCTGCCCTGAGAACCTTTCAGACTCAGGCCTCATCCTCCGCGCAATCAGCAATCACAGAGGGTCCCCTTCTCCCCGGGGCACAGAACCAGACCCAGCAGCGGCAGCCTCTACTGACGACTGCACCTTCCCTCCGGCCTGCCCCCCCAGTTCAGCCTTGGGACCTCAGGCTCCCACACTCCTGTCTGACTTCTCCCTCTGGCACTTCGGGCCTCCACTCCCATCTTTCACTCACAGGAAAAAGGGAGCAAGACAGATTGACAAGAATTTTACTCACAGGATGTAGGACGCAGATGTTGGACGCGACGGGAGCTCCCCCCGCCCCGGCCCCTGCTTCTCCCACCTCAGGCCAAACCCCTGTACAACCGTGCCTCTGTTTAGGAGACCCCTGCCGTGTTGGTCACCTTAGAGGCCAACCCCTGCTGCCCACCGTGTCAGGGACCTTCCACCATGACTGGGTCCTCCTGAAAACCCGGGGCCAGCCCAGGCAGCACTGAGGGCCGGGGTGGGGGTGGGGGGCTCGCAGATGTCTGCTGTGTCCTCCATCCGCTGGGCCTTCACCTAGCAGGGCCGGCTGCCTGGCCCAGAAGTTCCAGGGGCACCAGGAACGGGTTCAGGGGGCAGACCCCGGCTGCTTGCCAAGCAGACCTTGGCTCCCTGGGCCTGGCGTTCTCGGGGGCCTGCAGCTCCGCCTGGCTGGCCTCCTCGTGCCCCTGGGAGCCTGTCCCGGCATCCTCAGCTTCGGGCGCCAGGCCCTCGCACGCTGGGTCAGGCTGGGGGGCTGTCAGGTGCGCGTACATATCCGATAGGTGTTTAACCAGGGCCTCGCAGGGCAGGCGGAGCAGCTCCTCGGGAAGTGCCAGGAGCAGGTCCAGGACCACTGCTGCCTCTGGTGATGGACACGGAGGGCTGGGGTGAGGGGAGGGCAGGTATGCTACCTGGGACTCCCTCCCTCACAGCCCCCGCCCGTTAGTCTCACCAGCTGCAGAAAGCTCAGGGCCATGGCACCTGCGGGAAACAGACGACAGGTACTTGTAGATCTTCTCGAAGTCCACGAAGAAGTCTCCGTCCGCCGCCGCCGCCGCCGCCGCCGCCGCCGCCGCCGCCGCGGAGGGGTCAGCCAGGGATGCAGATGCGGCCTCAGCGGCGGGGCCATTCGTCTTAGGGGCGGGGCCAGGAGTGTCAGGGCTGGGGTCCTCCCGCCCGCCAGGGGCGCTAAGCAGCAGTAGCTTTCCCCGCGCCTGTGTGGGCTTGGGGGGCTTGGAGTGCAGGAGGCTGACGGGCTCCGTGGCGGCGATGGTGAGTACCTGGCAGGAAGGGAGATCAGGGAGGGGAAAAGGGGGGAGGTCCTTCTACAGGCCTCTCCTGCCCTGCACCCCGCGGAGCCGTCCACCTCCACCTGCTCACCAAATTCCCCCTGTTGGACGTAACATGGAGGGGCTGTCGCAAGCGGGGTCACTGAGGCTCAGTGTGTTCAGTGACTGGCTAGCGTCACAGGGCGGGCAAGAGGAAAGGCCCAGCAGCCCAGTCCCCCTTAGCCTTGTGCGCACCACCCTCACCCGGCCTGCGGGATGGCTGTACCTGTGAGAAAGCCACAGTCAGGGCCTCCTCCAGCGGGCCTGTTATCTTCTCTGCCAGATCCATCCAAACCTGGAGGGGGCGACAGAAAGGCCCACGGTGGGCCTGGGGACCCACCCTCGGGGGTCTCCAAGCCCTGCTCCTCCTGGGGATCCCCTGAGGTTATTCCCCTCAACACCCACATCATGCCACAGGGGTCGGCTTCGGGGGGCCTTGTCCTGCCTCACCTCGATGGGGGCCGGGGTCTGTGTTTCCCGGCGCCTCCGTCCCTGCGGGCCACCGGGCTGCACTCTCTGGATGGCCTCCCGGACCACGCGGCCCTTGAGCTGCCGCAGGAAGTCCCGGATCTGGAGACGAGAGGAGGCGGCCGAATGGGCCTTCTGGGCGCCCAGGGGTGGAGAAAGAGGCCAAAGCCTACCGCCTGCTGCGGGACCGCCACTGCTCCCCAGCCTCCCGCTACCCCGGTGTGACCGGTCTCGGTGACTCTGCCCCGGGGTTCGGGGCCAGGCCCCAGGTGTGCCCAGTCACCCCGCACAGGTGTAAGGCCCAGGACAGCTCCGGTCCCTCCCAGCAGCCACAGCCCACCCTTTGCTAAGTACTACCTCGCTTCACCCACTCGGCCCCGTTTCCTGGCTCTCACTTCAGCCTCACTCCCCCGGGGTCCCGCGGCTCTTTCCGCCCTGACCCGGCCTCCACTCCGTCTAATACGAATTCCGACCCCTCAGCCTCTCGCACGCGCGGCCTCCACCTCGCCCCGCCCCTCAGCCTCATGCATGCCCCGCCCACGCCCAGCCACTCCCCCAAGCTCGCCCCGCCCCTCGGCCTCACGTACGCCCCGCCCACACGCCGCCTCCTTTCCCAGTTCCCTCGCCCCCATCCTCGCGCTCGCCCCGCCCCTCCGCCGCGCGTATGCCCCGCCCACGTCCTAGCCCCGTCTCCAGCCCCGCTCCCTTCCCAGGACCCCTCACCTCCGCCTCGCTGCGGCCCGGCAGCTCCCGGGCCAGCTCGGCGGCGTCCGGCTCCGGCTGACCCTGCCGTGCCTGCAGTAGTCGTAGCAGCTGTCGCTTCTCGCGGGGGCTCCAGGCCGCGGGGCCGGTCACCTCGCCCAGGTAGCGCGCCGGGGCCGCTCGCCGCCGCTGTGGAGGCTTCATGCCGGCGAGGGCGGTGTTGCCGCTCCGGGCCCGTTCCCCTGGTGGGCGGGGCTACGGAGGCCGCTGGGGTCAGAAAGCGCGGCGCGGAGGCGGAAACAGATGGGGGCGTGGCTCCGCTTTGGCGGCCCCGGAGAGCGGTGTAGATGGGAGATGGAGAGGCTGGCCTGCGAACTGAGGTGGGGGCGCATGAGACACTCCCCCGCCCGCATTTTATCTCATCCGTGAACTGGAGCCGAAACCTTAGATCTCCTGCCGTCCCTCCATTACGGGACTAAGTCTTGCAAAACTCCTACTGTGTGCTTTGCTTCTCCAAAAGGGGTGGACCCTGGCAGAAGGGCAGCTGTTCAGTGGTAGCCAAGAACCTGGGTTGTGAGGTTGGCCTGCCCGGCGGACCTAGAGCAAGTGGTTCTTCTCTGTAGAGAGAAGAACCTCAATTTCCTCATCTGTAAAATGGAGCTAGTAGTCCTACTCCGGAGAAGGGAGGAACTGGGACAGCAGACATTGTAAGAGCTCTAGACTGGACGGAGAGGAGACTGGAGCAGAGACCAGAGGTCGAGGCCTTAGCGAGGGCAGGGTCCAGGGTCGGGGTGGAGAGCAGAGAAAGCCTGGCTTTGGAGGAGGCGGCAGGTAGGCAGGTGCAGGGGTTGAGGAAGGAGGCGGACCTTTTTTTTTTTTTTAATTTGACAGAGAGGTCACAAGTAGGCAGAGAGGCACACAGAGAGAGAGGGGGGAGGCAGGCTCCCCACTGAGCAGAGTGCCCGACCTGGGGCTCGATCCCAATAC